CTGGATTCCTAGAAAAAATAAAAAACATCTGCATGGATTGAGAGGCCACATGAAGCCTGGGCAGGGGATGTTTAGAAGAAGCGTCACTAGAGACATGAACTCTGGGCTGGTGCAGCCTCCCCTCCTCAGCCAGGGATGTGCTTTGGGATTTGGGGTGAATCCATGAGCCTTGTTAAGTGCTTTGGGTCGGGGAGGCTCTGGGTGCTCCTGGTGATGCTGTTCCCTCCCTCCTGCAGGCGGCGGCTCTCGGAGCAGCTGGCACACACCCCCACCTCCTTCCGGAGGGACCCCGAGGACCCGTCCGCTGTGGCCCTGAAGGAGCCTTGGCAGGAGAAAGTCAGGTAGGGCTGGAGGGACATGGTGGCCTTCACCTTAGGCCCTGCTTGTCCCCAGACGTGGTGTTGACTTGGGACATGGGGAGCAGTGGAGGTGCTGGAGGGGGCAGGAATCCACGGCAGATTTGCTGCTCTTGGCAGAGGCTTGAGGGGCTTCACCAGGTTTATCGGCAAGTTTTATGTCAGAAGAGTTTGGCCTGTCCCAAAATGTGTTGCTGCTCTGAGTTGTCCAATCCCCCCATTCCTCCTTCTGCCAGAGGGGGAGGGGAGGCCTCTGGAAACGTGTGGGTCGTCTTGTCCACATTGTTCTGATGGAGGAGCTGGGAGTTCAGGGAGAGTGAATGAATTCCCTCCGGGTGTTTCAGGGAGGGCTCGTGGCTCGGGTGGGATTGGCCAGTAGCTGAGTGAGTGTCCATGTGCAGTTCCTGGAGCTGCTGCAGCCCCAGCTGAGCCTTTCCTTACCCCTGAGCCCCTCCAGGCTGACTCGCTGCCCACCCTCCCTTCCCTCACGTTCCCTCCTCACCCGTTCCCTGCAGGAGGATCCGGGAAGGGTCTCCCTACGGGCACCTGCCCTCCTGGCGCCTCCTCTCCGTCATCGTCAAGTGCGGGGACGACCTGCGGCAGGAGCTGCTCGCCTTCCAGGTCCTCAAGCAGCTGCAGGTGAGAGGGGAGAGGAGCTGCCCGGGGAGCTGCAGCTGCCTGGAGCTGCCCCGGATCCTGAGGGATTTTCCCCCTCTCTCCCACAGTCCATCTGGGAACAGGAGCGTGTCCCGCTCTGGATCAAGCCATACAAAATCCTCGTCATCTCCGCCGACAGCGGCATGATTGAGCCCGTGGTGAACGCCGTGTCCATCCACCAGATCAAGAAGCAATCCCTGCTCTCCCTGCTGGATTATTTCCTGCAGGAGCATGGCACCTGCAACACGGAATCCTTCCTGACAGCCCAGAGGAATTTCGTGCAGAGCTGTGCTGGTTACTGCCTGGTGTGTTACCTGCTGCAGGTCAAGGACAGGTGGGGCCCTGCTCTGTGGCTGTGTCTTCTATTGGGATTTGTCATTTTGTCCCCAAGTGCAGCAGGGAGATCCCAGGAGCAGGGGATGCTGCTGCTCCCCAGCCTGTGCTCACACTTGCCAAGTTTAACAGAAGCTTTTCCCTCTCCTGCACAGGCACAACGGGAACATCCTGCTGGATGCAGATGGACACATCATCCACATCGATTTTGGGTTCATCCTCTCCAGCTCCCCCAGGAATCTTGGCTTTGAGACCTCAGCTTTCAAACTCACCACAGAGTTTGTGGATGTGAGTGAGCAGGGGGTGTGAGGGCACCAAGACCCTGGTGGTTTTTGGCTGCTCTGCAGCCTCAGCTGCTCCTGGGGCCTGGGGATGGGCTGGAAGCTGGAGGAGCCTTTTCCAGTGGGGGTTCACTCAGAGGAGTGAAATTCCCTGAAAAATCCCATTGTGCCCCTCCTGCTGACAGTCCCCGTTGTCCCCTCTGCCCCCACCCACACGTCCTCTCCCTGGCAGGTGATGGGTGGCCTGAACGGGGACATGTTCAACTACTACAAGATGCTGATGCTGCAGGGTCTCATCGCTGCCCGGAAGCACATGGATAAAGTTGTGCAGATCGTGGAGATCATGCAGCAAGGTAAGGGAACCCCCAGGTGCCACGTGTGGGGCTGGTGCCCCTCGCTGTGTTGTGACTGACCCTGACACAGCTGGGGGGACTCCCAGTGCCACCAACCAGCAACGAGCTGGTGGCCACCGAGCCCCTCCTGGGGGCTGCGCTCGCCTGCTCCCCCCGTGCCAGCCCCCCCCGTTCCTCCCTCCTGCAGGGAGGCACAACGGGAACATCCTGCTGGATGCAGATGGACACATCATCCACATCGATTTTGGGTTCATCCTCTCCAGCTCCCCCAGGAATCTTGGCTTTGAGACCTCAGCTTTCAAACTCACCACAGAGTTTGTGGATGTGAGTGAGCAGGGGGTGTGAGGGCACCAAGACCCTGGTGGTTTTTGGCTGCTCTGCAGCCTCAGCTGCTCCTGGGGCCTGGGGATGGGCTGGAAGCTGGAGGAGCCTTTTCCAGTGGGGGTTCACTCAGAGGAGTGAAATTCCCTGAAAAATCCCATTGTGCCCCTCCTGCTGACAGTCCCCGTTGTCCCCTCTGCCCCCACCCACACGTCCTCTCCCTGGCAGGTGATGGGTGGCCTGAACGGGGACATGTTCAACTACTACAAGATGCTGATGCTGCAGGGTCTCATCGCTGCCCGGAAGCACATGGATAAAGTTGTGCAGATCGTGGAGATCATGCAGCAAGGTAAGGGAACCCCCAGGTGCCACGTGTGGGGCTGGTGCCCCTCGCTGTGTTGTGACTGACCCTGACACAGCTGGGGGGACTCCCAGTGCCACCAACCAGCAACGAGCTGGTGGCCACCGAGCCCCTCCTGGGGTCTGCGCTCGCCCGCTCCCCCCGTGCCAGCCCCCCCTGTTCCTCCCTCCTGCAGGGTCTCAGCTCCCCTGTTTCCACGGCTCCTCCACCATCCGCAACCTGAAGGAGCGTTTCCACATGAACATGACAGAGGAGCAGCTGCAGGTGCTGATCGAGCAGATGGTGGACGGCAGCATGCGCTCCATCACCACCAAGCTCTACGACGGGTTCCAGTACCTCACCAACGGCATCATGTGAAGGTCCCACCCGTCCCATCAGCTCCTGCTCCTTCCCCGGGTGGGGGAAAAAGGAGACTCTTGTCTCAGCATCTTCCACCTCTCCCCCCCACCCCACCCCGG